AACCCGAAACCCTACTCCCTAAACCCGAAACTGCCCTAAACCCTAAACTCTAAACCCTGAGCCCTAGAGGGCTTGGAGACTCGAGGGTGTAGGGCCTAGAGGCTTGCGGTGCTGCAGGGCCTTTGGCCGTAGGGGCTCTTCCCTTTTTAGGGGATCCCTTTAAGGGTTTCCTCTAAGAGTTCTCTGTAAGGGCTTTGGTAGGGGGTTTTGGCACCCTCCTCCGGAGTTAGAGCCCCATGCGGCGAACACCGGGTCGCCCAAAACCCCCAAGTCCAAAGCGCCTGGAACCCTGCTTTGAAGACAGAAAAAACACTCATGATACCTCCGTAAGATCCCAGAGATTGCAGAAGACAACAAAAAGCCTTCATCCCAAAACTCTTTAAACCCCAAAGCCCCAGACAGTCCCTGGGACCTCAGCGAGGCTCCCTAAACCCTAAACCCTAAACCCAAAACCCTAAACCCGAAACCCTAAACCCTCAACCCTAAACCCTGAAACCCAAACCCTAAAACCTAAACCCTAAACCCTAAACCCCAAACCCTAAACCCTAAACCCTAAAAACCAAAACCCCAAACCCTAAACCCGCGCCTTCAGGACTGCCTCCCGGGTGTTTTGGAGCTCGCGCTCCCGGCTGGTTCGGTGAGCCTCGGTGCCCTCCTGGCGGTTCATGGCATACTCTGGGAGGCATACTCTGGGAGCCTTAATAGCACAGGGTTGTAGGGCTTAGTTTAGGGACCAGGGTTTAGGGTTTAGGGTTTTGGGTTTTGGGGTACGAGTATATAGTCCCAACTGTCGTATTGGTGGCTTTGGGTTGAGAGGTTGAGGCTTTGAGGCCTGGTTTGCAGCTCCCACCAAGTCCTGCCAACTTCCGCCCGAGTACTGTAGGATTCGGAGATTCAGAGATGTAGAGTCGAAGGTTTGGTGCAGTGGTGTTGGTTTTATGCATAGCTACAGTTTCACTGGGTTAATTCGGGACCGTGGAAATGCACAAGACCTGCGAGGGTGCACAGGGCGGGGTTCGGAATTTGGGGACTGGAGGGACATGGGGATTGTGCTTGAGGGCGGTTGTTGCCAAGTCCGGGCTTCGAGGGATTTAGGGTTTTGAATTTCGGGTTAAGTAAGTTCTAGGGTTCAGGGTTTGGGGTTTAGGGCTTAGGGGTTTAGGGTTTAGGGTTCAGGGTTTAGGGTTTAGGGCCTATACGCCCGACCCGGCTGTTTCTCGATGCAGCTGTCTTCGGCCGATTGCGTCTGGAGTCAGGGCTTGCCGCCTCGATCTGCTGATAAGGGCCTTGAGTAGCTTATACTATATTCTTAAAAGGAACCACCAAAATAGTATTGGTAATTATTGCGGCCCCTTTACTAATCGGTTGGTTCAGGCAGTGGCTGTGTCCTGTTGCCTTTGTTCAAGAGCTGGCACACATCAGTTGGCGACATGGTGATCAACATGACGATCCCAATCCAGTCACCGTAAGAGTCGGCAAGCTGCTCTGCCACCTTGAGCATATATCTTCTCTCGAAGGTCTCTGCCTCAGCCGCATTGATGAGCCGGAACATGGCACTGATTCTGTCGTGATCCACGTTTCCAGGGATTCCGGCAAGGGCATTGATGAAGAAAGCAAAGGCAAAGTAGTCCCACGGAGTCCACTGCACAGCTTGAGTGATGAAGTGCAGCTGTGAGACCTTCACCAACACTGCCATCAAAGCCAATGGCAACATGATCAAGATCAGATAGCAAGCAGCAGCAGCATACAGAAAAAACCCTGGTCCGTATCTGGTGGCCTGCAGTTTGCTCATCACTTCCATTGCTTTAGCTGGGTTTACCAGCGGAATGCATTTGAGGATCGAGAAATTTGCAAGTGCACTCAGAGCACCACGGACGTTCAACCTTCCTTGGTTCACTCCAACTTCCTTGCTGGGCCGGATGAGATTCGTGAGAATCGTGAAGAAAAAAGCCAGAGCGAAGACGCCTTCGCCATAGGCAACGATCTTGCATTCCAAATTCCAGGCTCTCTGGGTGTTGAGGGTTTTCCCTGTCTTGAATGCGTTGTAGGACAAGTACAAGAGGTTCGCCACTGCTCGCCCCGAGCGCCAAGTAAACGCCGCCACCCGGCTTAGCATGACGCTCTCTCCGAAAACTGCCCGGACGTCTGCATCAGAGAGATCAGTGGATACACGAACATCCATACTTTCCAATTTCGGGGTCTCAGCTTGTGGCTTGCCATGGATTGATACATGGATGAAAAAGAAAACGCAATACATAAGGATGCCAAGAAAGATGGAGTTCACAAGCAACCAATCTCGATGAACGGTAACACCGGCAACAGCCAGTGACTCCCAGCTCGCGACAGTGCGCATCTCACCGGGGCAAAGCGAGCTCCGATCCCTAAAACCCCAAATCCGCGCTAGGCGCGGCTGATGCTATTTGCTAAGATTACCTAGCAACGGCTGCAGTCGCGAACCAACCAGTGGAAAAGTATCGCAGACTAAAACCGAGAAGACATGTCTGAAAAGCCCATCCGAAGAAAACGCAAACCTCTAGCACAAACCCGAGTGAAGCATCAGCCCTAAACCTACACACCGATAGCACAGAAATGCTAGACTCTGCACCGCATAGCTGCCGTCCCAGAAAGCAAAAAACACAGGGTAGGCAACTATGGATTAGGATTTTGATTCTAGGCTTTAGAATTGGAGACTCCTGAAAGGCTCACGAAAATGTGCTTCAAAGGCGTTGAGGTTGAGGACGTACGGCTCCAGTGGGCTAAAAAAATAAATTTATATTTTGTATTTCAAGCCTTGTTCGATAGCTCCTTTTGAAATGTGCAACGCATGAAACTCCAAACACAAACAGCAGCGAGCCCAACCCCTTAAACCATGATAGACACACGGCACTGCAAAGACTTAAGAATCGACTGCATGAAGAGACGACGGCTTAAAGGCACAGGGCTAGCTATCTACATGCTCAAAGTTAAGGGCTCTGCAGTAGAGCTTGGAGTTTCAAGAACCCCTACACCCCGAAACCCTTGAACCCTAAATCCCTAAACCCCTAAACCCTTAAACCCTTAAACCCTAAACCCTAAACCCCTAAACCCCAAACCCCCAAACCCCCAAACCCTAAACCCTAAAAACCCGGAAGACGTGCGCCTTGTTGGACTCGGCGACCCGAAGCGTGATCTTGGAATCCTGGAGGCACTCGAAAGCTCGGGGGGTTTGGGGCTTGGGGTTGGGGGTTTGGGGTTCAGGGCGTGGGGTTAAGGGTTTAGGGCTTAGGGATTATAGGGTTTAGGGTTTAGAGTCTAGGGTTTAGGGTTTGGGGGGATTTAGGGCTTGGGGTTTAGGCTCTGGTGGGGATAAACAAGACGTATCCCAACCACCCTAAACGCTAAACCCTAAACGCTAGGCCCTAAACCCTAAACCCTAAACCCTATGCGGAAGTCTTTCGCTTGGCCCTTGAGTTCCCGGTGCTTTCTCCTAAGCTTCTGGGACATGAAAAGCACCCTGCCCGGAGACCTGGCGTTGGGCTTAAGGGTTTAGGGTTTAGGGCTTAATAATCAGAAGAGGGTTTTGGGGTATGTTACACTATGATTATACTCAGGCATCCCCAAAAAAATATTGGTAATTATTTTGGGCCCCTACATTAACCGTTATTAACCGGGTTTACAAATCTAGTTGTCGCGACTGTGTGGATGATAGATCTTTCGGCTGGATATTTACTCGTGCCGGTGTAGTGTTTAGAGCCGTTGGCGATTCGCGCCTCCGACTCGTAGTATTCTTGCTAGGGCATAGCACGCAAGAATGAAAATTCGATCATCAATATGAAGGCTCAGGCCCTTAGCCCCGGACGGAACGAACGCCCATGGCTTCTGGGGTGGTTTACATTCGGATCCCTTCGACGTTCCTTCGTAAACTTGTTTTAAAATAGGATCAGTAAGTAGACAGCGTGACAGGGACCCTGTAAAAGAACTGCTTATAGGATTATACCATTGAAAGATACCGGTCCGTAAGGCATACAGGAGAGCGAGTGCATCTGCCGAGTATTCTCGGCACATAGCACACTTTCGAAATTGCCACTGATCATCTGATCCCTAAACCCTCAACCGTAATGATGAGTCACGGCCCCGTGATACTCTGCGAGGGACCGAAAACAACCCCTTGAAGGAACCCTAACAGAACCTTAAACCATTGCAGTGGAAGCTCAAAAGTTGGAAACCCACTAGCCTCAATCCTAAAAAGTACTCTATAGGGAATCCCAGCACTGATTGTCCTTAATCCTGTTTCCAACTTTTCTGGGCCTACCATAGACTGATCTGTTTTGGTTGATGCGAACCCTCAACCCTAAACCATAAACGCACAGCTCGCACCAGCTTCAGTCTTAGGGTCAGCTTAAAGGTTCAAGGGGCTTGGGAAGAGGGTTTAGGGTCTCGGGTTTTAGGATTAGGTTCTGCAGGTATATTGTTTAGGGTCTCGGGTTTTTAGGGTTTAGGGTTTTAGGGTGTAGGGGTTTAGGGTCTCGGGTTTTAGGCTTTAGGGTCTCGGGCTTCTCAGGGTTTAGGGTCTCGGGTTTTAGGCTTTCGGGGGTCTCCCTAAATCCTAAACCCTACACCCTAAACCCTAAACCCTAAACCCTGAACCCTAAACCCTAAACCCTAAACCCTATACCCTATACCCTACACCCTAAACCCCAAACCCTACACCCTAAACCCTAAACCCTAAACCCTA